GTGTTCCTTTAAGGATGTTTAGATATTTGTATTGGAAACCAGGTAAAAAAAAAAATACTGAGGATGATATTTATTCTTTCGCAATGTATGCTACATTTAATGCCATGACTTTATGAATTTAAAACTGCTCTGAATTAAGACCTCTTTAGGCCTTGATTTGTTGAAGGGTGAATTAAGGCCCACAGAAATCTCTTGTACATTCTGGCTTAAACCTTACTTCTGTATATTCCAGGGAGGACACACTGCTGTGGATTGTGGGTTTGCCACAAGGATAAGAAAGTCAACAGCAGATTCTAAAGATTGCAAAGACGTATAAATAATATTTTGTCTTGGAAACGATGACGGCGTCACGCCGCTCGTCTGGCGGCCTGCTGACGTAGTCACGTAACCACGTTAAACCAATCAGAGCGCAGTTTCGGTCTGTGCGGAAGTGCGTGAAGCCGGTTTTTCGGGTGTCAATCGCGTGAGTAGCAAGAATGCCTAATTTGAACATAGATTGTTTCTACTCACTATAGTACTGTACTATTAGATTTATTTTGTAATTATTTAATCAAATGATTAGCTTTCATTTATTAATTGTAATAAAATGTATTTCTTTATTTTGTTTAATTTTATATTTTTTAATATTTATTTTTTATTACTTTTTTGGATCCACAAATATGTTCATCCTAACATTTAAAAGGCAGTTATATCTATTTTTCATGTATAAAGATACAACAAGTGAAAAAAATAATATTATAAATATATTTAAAATATAATATGCTACATTATTATATTCTTCTCACTAAAATACTGTACTGTTTGTTGTATTATTTATTTAAATCAAATGCATATCATTTTAACATTTAATTTAATTATGTATATGTACTTATTTATCTAGTTTATTAGTAGTAGCAGTATTACTGTTACTATTATTATTATTAATTAATTAAGTAGTTATTTTTTGACCCTCTGAAGACCCAATTAATAAAATGAAAATGTATATTATAAATATATGTAAAATATTATTTGGAAAATATTTAGTTTCTATTACATTACTATTTTTTTCTACCTAGTGTAGTACTGTACTGTTGGGTATATTTATTTATTTATTTATTTTAATCAAATGTATTCATTTCAGTTAAATTTCTTCTGGTTCTTCTTATGTATTATTAATTACATTTACATTTAGTCATTTAGCTGACGCTTTTATCCAAATGAGGACAATGGAAGCAATCAAAATGAATTAATCGGTTATTTTTTCACTGTTTTTCTCTAAATTTTTCCACGGACTCCTTTGCTGCCCCCTGTGGGTCCCCAGACCCCAGTTTGAAAACCCCCACACCGTGTGTCGTAACATACAGTACCATGGTAATACTGTGTTTTTTGGACATATATCATGGTAATACCATGACACTCCTTGGCTTACCATGAATATGGCACTCATTTCAAGACTTTTTGGTAATACCATATTGTTAGACACGTAACATTGTTAATACCGTGGTTTTCTTAGAAGTATGTTCCTGCTGGACTAACATGCAATATATCCCATGTGTCTCTATAATTTGAAGGTGGATTGCCCTGAGATTTCAGAGGATCTTCAGCACTGGATTAGATTTATCTCTGCCAGCAGTCAGGCTCTGAGAGCAGAGAGTGGACTGGACGACAAGACCAAATGATAAATTCAAAGACTCTTACCGTAAGCCTTCCTTCTGCATGTAAGTTTCCCGTGATGCTAACCTTAACTTATCTCTAAATGTCGGTTTCAAAGTCACAAAAGGGTTTTCTGATCCAGAACCTGCGGCTGTTGGCAGCTTCAGTGTTTACTCCACTACACCAGCCCTTCATGTATTTATTTCAAAGTATTACAACATCATTATTGTACTTACAAAGTCCATTCCAGAAGCTGCAAGAAATGTGACTGACAAAACATAGAAGCATGAATCTCTGTTGAGAAACCGAGCGCATGAATGAAGGTTGAAAACTTGACTCCATTGACTTGAACACTAGGGGCTTTTGAATGACCAAATACGCACATGAACGTAACAAAAATCACATCGAAGGCATTTGCACTGAGTATTTTAATATTATAAATGGTAGATGAGTTCTGAGCAGTGAATTGGAACAAGTGTGTTGTTTTATCATATCAAAACTGGATTTGTTGTGCTGGTCTGAAATGTTAATGTAGTTATTTATTCCACTTTAAAACTGAAATGGTTTTATTATTGTTATATTTATGAAAAGGGAACATGTATTATTTATTAAAGTACATTTTTCTGAGATTTGCATAATTTCTTTGAGAAGAGTCTGTATGTAAAATAATTTAAGCACCTGTAATGAAACGTGAAGACTTGCGTTATAAAATAAAATACTGCATTATAATGTCTGTATGTTTCTGAGTTATTAGAAGCATTAGTTTATAAACAGTGTTCATGCATCATGTGAGAGCAGCAATACTGCCATCTCGTGTGAAAACACTGACATATCCCACTCTTACGTTGGAAAGTTGAATTAAAAATGTACACGGATTGCAGAAGGGCATTATATTTGGTTTGTCCCCGGTATGAATCAGTGGCATGCTCATGTTCTCCAGCATGATTTGAGATGTTCCATCTTTAGCTTCAGTGTAAGCAAGAAAATCTGACAAATTCTGTACAAGTGTCACTGATTTACCCTAGTTATATCTGACTAAACATATTTGAACTATCAAAATATTTTGTATTCGTTTTACAGCAATTTTTTGTATTTATTTATGTAAAAAACAAAAAAAACAAATGTTAGTTTAAAATAGATTGAGTTCTATGATTTTGTGTGGACTGTGGATATTAAATAAGAAAATATCAAGAACTGGGATGTTTTCAGCTTCCAGGAATTGTGCACAGATCCTTGTAACATGGGGCCGTGCATTATCATGCTGCAACATGAGGTGATGGTCGTGGATGAATGGCACAACAATGGAGATCTTTGAGTTCAGCTCATGAAAAATGGGAGCAAAAACAAAAGTGTTGCGTTTATAATTTTGTTCAGTGTGTGTATATATATATCATTTATATATGTCATTTATTTATATTAAACAATAAACGTTTATTGAAATGTTTTATTTATTTATTAATTATATTACATATTTATGTTTTTACATTTATAAATATATAATTTAAAATTGTGTTTATGTATATATGTTTAATTTGAATTAATTTGCATTTATTTAACTTGTGAAGTAATATAGACTTACATTTTATAAATGTAATTTACAATTTTATTTTTGTTTTTTTTATGTAGTTTTTTTTTATGTGCTGATTTTGGTGTGATATTGTGTGTGTGTGTGTGTGTTTCCTTGTTCTGAAGTCAGTATCTTGTAAACCTTTAGCTTTTCAATAATAGCTTATTTATTGGGGGCAAAAACCACAGCTGCCTAGTTCATTTTACATGTTAAGTTATATTTCTATTGCAATATATTTCTTTTTGTTTTTTAAACAAATTAATACTTTTATTTACCAAGAATCCATTAAATTGACATCTATAAAAAAAGACATCTTTAATGTTATATTAAATAAATGCTGTTCTTTGAACTTTCTGTTCATCAAAGAGTCCTGAAAAAATGTATCATGGTTTCCACAAAAATATAAATAATAAGCTTTCTTGAGCAGCAAATCAGCATATTAGAATGATTTCTGAAGGATCGTGTGACACTGAGGACTGGAGTAATGATGCTGAAAATTCAGCTTTGCATCACAGGAATAAATTACATTTGAACATATATTACAGTAGAAAACAGGTATTTTAAATCGTAATAATATTTAACATGATTAACTTTTTAATCAAATAAATGTGAACATATATTTGATAAAGAGATAGCAAAATCTAGAAAAAAATATTACTTTTCACAAGGTGCGCACATTTTTTTTCTCCCTTTTAAAACTCTTGCTAATAATTGAAATCACAGCTGCCAATATCTCGAATAAAATAGGCCATCTTCAATGAAATAACCAACGTTTAAAGTAAAAGTAAAAATAAAAAAAAAACTTTTAAAAAATGTAAAATATATTTCTATAAGATAACCAAAGTCCTTGACACGTTTATATGTAATTGACCTCTGCAGTCAAGACCTACACCAAAACCACATCTAGACCTAGATTAGGCTGACTTCACCTTGTTTTTAATAGGTTTATTTTTTCCAAAAGCATGAATTTTACACAAAATGTCAAATAAAGTGACCCATTTACATTTTAAATCAAATAATACGTTCAAAATCCTATGCAAGTATCGTACAAATTTGTTCCATCTTTGACTATGTCCCTGACCAAGGTCTCAGCTATACAGCATGGTCTCAAGGCTAAGGCTGTATAAAGATTTCTGAATAGACCAATTTAAAGTAGACGTCACAGTTACGTCACTTGCAGCTGCACACGCATAGTGGTGGCAGAAAAACACTGGGACCAAGTGGAGGGAAACGGGTCAAATCCATGGAATAAGAGAACAAATTTATTGTTGTGCCTTTGGATGTCAGAATCGGAATGCAAATAATTTTTATATAACACCGTTGTCAAAGACGCCATTTGAAGCTAAAAGCAGACGTTTAAATGGACAGACTATGGATGAAACCTGCTATGATTACCCTACTTTTAAAGCTTACATTTGATTTACACAATAGGTCTATATAATATTCATATAGGGGACATATTGTATTAGCCCTACAGTTGAAATACATGCATGAAATACTATTTAAACCTATAACATTTTACATAACATTTACCTATTTTATCTCACAATTCTGACTTTTTTGCTTCCCAATGCAAGTTTATATCTCCTAGTTCGGCCTTTATAACTTTATTCAAGTCAACAATTGCGAGTTTGTCAATTCTGGGGGAAAAAAGCCAGAAGTGTGGGATTATAAACAAAACAAAAAAGAAAGAATGACGAGTTGATTTTTTTTACCAGAATTGTGAGAGATAATCTCGGAATTGCAAGAAAAAAGTCAACATTTTGAAATATAAACTCAAAATGACATTTTTAGTATTTTATTCCATGGCTTGAATAGACTGCTGCGTTAAAACTCTCATTTTCCGCCACCTGTTTGCAAACACTGAAATTGGTCTATAGCTGTTTTTGCACTTTAGTTTCAGTGAATGCTCTGCTTGGATTGAGTTCTGAAAGTTTGAGCACGTCTGCATAGTACATCAAACTCCTGCTTCAAAAGAGCAATCAAAATCCTGTTTTCCACTGCATGACCTCTTCAAAGCCGAAGTCATGCTTTATCATTCTGCTTTTGTCTCCTCTCAGCTCTCCGCACAGACCGCCCTCGAGGAGAGCGAGCGTATCTTCACAGAGCTGGTGTGCTCCATAGAGCGCCGGCGCGCTGAAGTGACGGAGCTGATCCGGGGTCAGGAGAGGGTGGCAGTGAGCCAAGCTGAAGCACTCCTTCAACAACTGGAGCAGGAGATAACAGAGCTGAAGAAAAGACACGCTGAATTAGGAGAGCTCTCGCAGACCGAGGACCATATCGCCTTCCTTCAGGTAATGCTGCTGGTCGTTCACAAATTGCTTGTCTCTGGAGTATCCTGAGGTTAAGTGCCTTGATTAAGGACACAGTGGTGATTAGTTTATGAAGCACATTTTCTGCGGTTTGAATATAATCAGTGTTTTGGCGAGCAGCCCATATCTTTGGCCACTAAGAAGCATTCACTCCAATGTAAAATTGTATTGTTAGACTGTTCAGTTTCCACGTTTGTAGTAATAGTTCACCAAAAGATGAAAAGTGTCATTATTTCCTCACCTTCATGTTGTTTCAAACCTGTATGACTTTATTACTTGATGCACAAAAGAAAACAATCTTTTTGTAAAACACAAAAGATATTTAGCCAAATTTCTGCACTGCTATTTTTAGATCAAGAAAGCATATAGCAACCAGAAAGAAAAAATGAGACAAAAATATATTTTTGTTATTATTAATATTATTGCATAAACATAAAAAGCTCAGAAATTTAAAAAAGTCAAAATTGTGTGATATAAATTCACAATTTTGAGAAAAAAAATCTAAATTGTGAGATATAACTCAAAATTGAGAAATATAAAGTCAGAATCACTAGAAATAAAATCAGAATTTCTTTCTTTCATTTCTGAGTTTTTAATGTTTTTGCAATAATATTAATAAAAATAACAAAAAAAAATATTTTTCTATCACTGTTACTATACTGCTATATGCTTTCTTGATATAAAAAAATCAGTGCAGAAATTTAGCAAAAGATCATCTTCTTTTCTGCATCAAGAAATAAAGCCATTATGTGTTTTAAACATAAAAAACCATTATGTGTTTTAAACATAAAAAAAACTCTGAACTACAAGATGTTAAATCAAAATTGCAAGTTATAAACTTAGATTTGCAAGAAATAAAGTCTGAATTGTGGGTTATAAACTCACAATTCCGAGAAAAAAAAGTCTTGAATTGCGAGATATGACTCAATATTGTGAGATTTTATACTCAGAATTAAGAGACAAAGTCAGAATTGTGAATTATGAACTCATAATTGTCAGGAAAAAAGTCTGAACTGTAAGATATTACCACAACATTGTGAGATATTAACTCAGAATTTCAAGGAATAAAGTCAGAGTTGTGTGTTTTGAACTCCGAACTACAAGATGTTAACGTAAAATTGCAAGTTATAAACTCAGATTTGCAAGAAAAAATAAAGAAATAAATCTG